TTTAGCTCTGTTCTGTTACTTTTTGTCATTGCTTATTGGAAACTTTGTAAATTCTGTTTGTTTGGGCATTTCTTGTCTATTACATTTATCCATGGCCAATTACTCTACAATGGAATAACTCCTCGTTCTTACAGTGATGGAGATAATGAAGGAATAAACCAGCATGGGCCGCTGAGTTCGGCGAATGTGCATCACAGGGATGAATCGTTGAGTCACGGTCTTGAAAAGCGAGGGTTTGGAGTGGGAAGCCAGGCTCCTGTCGGCCGTTATACTGTTATTAACAAATTACGGAATAAACAAGTTAGCCTGTATTCGCGCAGATCGTCAACAAAACTTAATGAAGGAAGAGGTAGGGACCGATCGAGCAAGGTGGCTATAAAACTGCCTCAATTTGTATCGAATCTTATGTCCTTGCTCATGTAAAAAAAAAAAAAAAAATTTGAGAAAGTTTGAGATCTCTGAAACCACCTTGATTGGACAGGTACGGAAAGGTAACTTCTTCACGGCCGGATAGGTGGGTAACAGACATGGCGATACCAAGATCAAGTGAGGTTCAGTAGATTTGCATGAAGCCGAAGCTCATACATTAGCTGAGGTTTCTGAAAAAGAGACTGTGGAATCTGGCGTATAGGCGGGTATATGAGGTATTATGTACACTATTTACATTATTAGGACTATGGTCATCATTTTTTTTCGCCATGTTTATCACAACGTTTCGGCCGTTGTACGCTCCGGCCTTCTTCAGGTGGTTGAAATGTCGAACTGAACCCTTTATTTCGCTCACTAAGGTAGACTGTTCTAGTTCCACGTGCCATGTCTAATGGATGTCAGTTATCTCCTGTTAATTCCCCTCTCCAAGTTCTTCACCGCCTTAACCATGTATTGAACACAGTCTTTGGGTCCTGTCACTGGATCTAATTCCTTTATCCACTGTGCCATGTGTCCTCAAGGACACATGGCACAGGAAATAAAGGGTTCAGTTCGACATTCCAACCACCTGAAGAAGGCTGGAGCGTACAACGGCCAAAACGTTGTGGTAAACATGGCGAAAAAATGAGGACAGTGTATAAATTCTTTTTATTTATTTTAATTTTTTTAAATAATTTCACCCCAAGAAAATATATAAAGTCACTAAGACACAGTTTTACTGAATTTTGAAAGAATATGAGAAAAGGGAAAACAACGTCATTAATGCGAGAGAGAAGGAATCAAGGATCCCATGACTTTGTCAATGGGTTAAAAAGTCGGGAGGCTATTTTCGGTAGTATAGTGAATTCAATGATCACTAGGTTCTCAGCTGTTGTGACTGTTTCAAACAAAATCATGCGTAAAGTAGGGACTTTTCCAAGGAAAAACATATTGGACTAAAGTGTTGGTTCGTGGATTTGAAGACATAGTAATTGCGAATTCAATCCTTGGTCAAGATAATGTTTATTTATACAGTGGAACCAGGAAGAGCATAATTAAACAAAAATTATATTAGATAAGCCTAGACATGATCAGTGGAACGAGAACAATCTATTTTCGTAGATTAGATAAAGCTTTGTTATAGATACCCTGATGAAGCCCAGAGCGCCCAGCGGCCGAAATATTGTGATAACAACAACAAAGATTAGGATAATATTTCGAGTGTAAATAATAACCCCTCATCCAAGAAATTCGGACAGAAACCATGCTTAGTAAATTTAAGGCTTTCCTTGTGGATCTAAGCTGAGTCTGGCGTTCAACTTTAGGTTATTTATAAAGCAGGCATATATTTGGATGATTGGCGCAACACACTCTTCCTATCGTATATCCCTTTTGGCTTTAAAACTTGTTGAGCTTAGTTTTATAAATAACAAATTGCGATAAATAATAGAGAGGAACAAAAATAATATTTGATTATTTCGATAAAATCTGAGGCTATTATTGGTAGATAGCAAAGAGCTTTTTTTCTTTTTTCTTTTTCACGACATTCATAAAACTACAATACCTTCTCTCTGCCCTGTCTCTTCGGGATATGGACGATCATGGCTCTTCACAATGTCCCATCTTTTATAACTCTTAGCCGTATTCGCTTTTTACTACCCCTCCCATCCCCTGTTTTGCCAACCATTTACACAAGTTTGTTAAACATGTTACTCACTGCTACCCGCCTTGACCATTTTTTTTTTTAAATATTTCTTGTGAGAGTCAAATTTTTCAAAGCCTTATTTTCTCATTGTTTCCCAGAAATTTGAACTTTCTCTTTCTGATTCTAAGTGAACTTTACGTTTGAGTTCCTTTAAAATTTACTCATGGTTATACGATAAGCATGTTATTCTCAGTAGAACATCTCTGTTGCAACAAGTCCTCTTCTCTTCATCTGTGAAAATTTTCTCCATTCACTGCCATACAGGAGGGTTATTTGCAGTTCAACGCTGTTTGTTTCTTACGAAATTTTCCCGTTCCTTAACACATTGCTAAGTGTTTGGAAGCCAACTTTCAAGTAAAATTTCTGAAAAAGTTATATTCCTATGAATTCTTACCCTTCTTAATCTGAAAAAAAAATCCTGTAGACATGTACTTGGCGCTCATGTTGAGCTTCATTGCAAAATGTGTTTTTTTTTTTTTTGTTTTTATTTCTCGCTGATGTGTCAAACAAGAAAAAAATGGGGAAAATTCAGAAGTCAATAAAATCGTTAGAATGCAGTATTTTTTTGCACAGAATTGCGTATTTTTTTTATCAGTTCTCATTAAACAAAGAGATAAAGATACAAAAATACAAGGTGCCATCGTGAGTAAAAGAACATGAAAAACTTTAGAAGGAACCGGAAATCCAATCCTAAACAGGAAATGAGGAATAAACCTCTACTCATTATAAAGTCTGTGAAGGAGTAAGAATCGGGCGATAGAGATAATGAAATGATGTCATGGCGTGCATTTGAAAAAAAAGTGTACGTTACGTAATTGCCTAAAAGGAAAGCTATATCCAGAATCTCGGGAAATATTTGTCATGGTGAAAAGGTCAGAATACCCTTTTATTTATTTATTGTTATTCGAGTGAAACGTATTGACCTCAACGAGGACCGTCCTCACTCGATTCTCAAGGACTGACACTACAAAATCACAAAGACCTGTATCAGATAACAGAATCTACATCACATGAGGATTCTCAACAGCAACTAAAATCATCACGCTATATTTCGTATGCTAATCTGTAATTTTACAGATTACACTAGTAAATCTGCTATTGTGGGGAGAAACAGTTATCAGAACAGAATGAAGAATAAACGAAATGAGATTAAATGACGGCCTCTTTAGTTGCGTTCAATTTCGTATTACTGTCCGTAGGAAAGGCATGAATCCGTCTATCCCTCTTCCAGCGATATAGCAGAAAACACTGATACTTTAGACTTAGGTGGCTGCCAGACCAGGAAAATTATGCCGAATTCGAAAACAGCGGGAAAAGCAACAAGTAATCATTCTTTCGTTTTCAAGTCGTCATGGTAATTTACAGTTATGTTCCGCCTATATCTTGTAGAGACATGTCAGTGAAATAAAATTAGAAGCAAAAGGCGTTTGATAAATGAAACTTCGTATAATGATGATTTTTAATTTTTAAAAATATAATTTAAATTAAAAATATAAACTGTTAGTCCTCGCTCGCTGGTGTCCAATGAAGACGTTATAGCTTTACAGCTACTTGACCGTTACATGGTCGATTCTCATTGCTTCGCATGGACAACGCCCAGTCAAAATCGAGACTTCTATTGGTGGTAGTGGTGTAGGGATGCAAAAGACGATTATCTCCCTTTTGTTGAGAGGAAGTCACGTGGGTCACGTAACGGTTGCTTAGTGACGTCATTTTATAGTGAGGAAAGAGGTCAGTTAAGTGTTTGTTAATTGTTTCATCGCAAAGGTGGGGCAAGACATCTCCCCGGGCCAGCAGATCAAAAGTCCATGGCGCTTTTCCCTCGTTGGAATAAAATGTCTTCACCAGCTAAAATAAAAACAATCTCCAACTTGCAGTCGACTCGTTGGGAAATACTCGTGACTTGTCGTTTTCATGTGGGATATACGTCTTCACCAGAGACATAGAAGTTAAATCAGACCCACTCGAATTTCCCTTTGGAAATAGAAATGTGCCTTCTGCAGAAACAGCTCTAATTCCCGTTGGGAATTATTGCAAGTAACACTCACTTAGAAATAGCCTTGGCAAAGGTATGAATCGGTCTCTTCTCCTCCAGCTATGGGTCCGAAAGACTTGATTGGCAGCCAGTCTACCACAAAAATCAATGGTAAATTACTACGCGAAGATCATCTGCCTAGTCAGTCATGAATAGAAAGATGCATCTTCGCCTAACCGTGTAGCACGTATGGCACTTAAATGACTTTAGGAAGAAATGAAGGTATTTTAGACAAAAACTAATAGCATATTGTTTTTTGTTTTGTTATTTTTCTCAAAATTCTCGGAGTTTTTAACACATTCCAAATTTGCACTTTTCACATTATTTAGACTGTTGCCCTCATCATTATTGTCAAATTCACAACGTTTCGGTCGTTGTATGCCCCGGCCTTCTTCAGATGATATTTTTTGGAATTTCGAACCGAACCCAGAATAGTCGATCTGTATGTTGCCGTTTTCTGATTGATTCGATGACGTTTGTGTAAAAAAAAAAAAAAATGGGTTATACACAAACGCCATCGAACAAATCTTCAGAAAATACCGAAACGTTGCGGATGTACCAATTAAAAAACAAGGACAACGGTGTAAAAAGTTTAAATAGTTACAATGTCTCATTGCGAAAATATAGACAGACATTCCAATTTGGTAAATATGGGAATCATGTTATCCAAATCCTAGAAGTATATTAGAAGACTGTTTTAAATCAGCTTGATTCCTTCGCTAGCCTTCAATATACGATTCGGCTTAATACTTTTGAACCGTTTTTTCTTACTAACCTTAAACTGATCAACGCTTTAATTCAAAAACTGTCTTAAATTGTTGACTTAATTCATTCCCTGTTTCAAGTTAAGGCTTATGGCCACATCACGTTGAAACAGCAGTTCTCGTACGATCACCGAAATTAAGCAACCTCGAGCCTGATCAGTATCTAGATGGATGACCGCTTAGAAATAACAGGTAATGTAAGCGATAATGTCGCGGAATTGTTAATCGGAAAACCGAGTTTGTTCTCGTTGATTACCTTATATTCACTTACACGCAAATAACTTAAGGAAAGGTAGCTGGAGGAAGGGGAGAAGAGCGTTCATACCTTTCCCAAGGGTATTAGCACGTAAGCGAAAAAATTACATTCACTTATGTGCTAATACCCTTGTTAAAGGTATGAATCCTCTTCTTCTCCCCACAAGTATACCACACATTCGTGTGACCTGGCTCAGGATCGGCTAACGTGGGAAGCGATAGTCCATGATGCTGTACTTGCTCGGAAGGAAGCCTGTTCAACCCGACCAGGGTGAAAACCGATACAAGTCAAAGGCCCCACAACTATGCAGGACAGACCGGGTTCTATAGCCTTGGATGGCAACTTTTTTACCGTAGAAAGAAATGGCAACCTACTGCGGGGAAAAAATCTACGTCAGTCATGTATCGAAAGATACATGATCGCCTAAGCGTGTATCACGCATGGCATATAACTGACTGATGAATTCGCCTCTTCTGCTAGCTATGGGTTAATTAGTGAGACTTATATCACTAAAACCATTATTATTTAAAAAAACCAAAAAACTTCTTACAATCTAAAAAATACTTTCTGACCTTTAACCTGCAAACGGTTAAGTCATAGAAAACGAAGTAATCAATCGAACCAATTGCAATTTTAAAGCTCTATTAACCTTCAAACTACGAGCATTTTTGTTATAAATAACTGTTCACTTAATTTTATTTGTTTTTATTCTATTTGCTAAATATTCCCTACCCTCCGTGAAAAATCATATTATCCTCTGGTGTCTGTGGTCGATGTTTCACCTTATGTCAGAAGCCTTGGTTTTTTTTTTAGTTTTTTTTTTTTTATATCGATTTTTCAGTGATAAGTTTGGCACAACTATATCTTCCTCATATTTGTAACGCTCTTCTAAACTAAACTAATTTACGTCAATCTATATACGAGATCATTTTTATGTCGTTTCAGGAAGTTCCGGAGGAATCGGTGGTCATGCTCATGCGAATCATCTCCAAAGTACCCCGTACGGTCATCTCTATCACCCAAAAGATTTAGGAAGTGGAGGTGGGGGCAGTACCCTGTGCAGCGGCTCTGGTGGTGGAGTGGTTCATCTTACGGTGACTGAAAAGCTTGTAGTCGACGGTGACATCACAGCAAATGGAGAGTCAGCCTCTGTAAAATCCGGAACGAAATGCGGTGGAGGTAGCGGCGGCACTATCTACATTGAGACACAGTTTCTGGACGGGAACGGACGATTGTCAGCTCAAGGCGGACATGGACGTGGTGGTGGCGGAGGTGGAGGGGGAGGCTACATTGCGATTCGATCCAATACGACTTTCCGTTTTACTGGAAGAACATACACCAATGGCGGACAAGGCAGTGAGTAACGATTTTTTATTTTATTTTTTATTTTTTTATTTATTTTTTTTTTTCGAAATTTGTTTTATATTTATTTAAATAATCTTTGCCGAGTACAAAATTTAATTAAGGCTTTAAAAACGGACATTTCCAAAGTATATCTAAATATATACAAACAAAAAAAAAGGACTAACCAAGAATGGCTAATAGGTTATTGTTCCTCGCTCTTCAGAGCCAATCGAGAACAAAAACACAAATATATGCACAACGACAAAAACAACATGAGATAAAAATGTTACTACCAGTGAATCAGCTGTAGAAATCAGATTAGATTTAGACGCAGTAGCCATTCTTCCTGTATTTTCGGTGACCGATTGCACTATGCAAAGGTAAATTTTCTCTGGAGAGGTTAAAATTTATGCCAAAAGATTCAACGATCGCACTATATATTAAGTCGGCTTTTAAAAGTATATATTATTTTTACTACTACTCTTATTATAATCATCATTACTATTCTTCTTCTTCTTCTTCTTATCATTATTATTATTATGACTATTCTTCTTATTATTATTATGACTATTCTTATTATTATTATTATGACTATTCTTATTATTATTATTATGACTATTCTTATTATTATTATTATGACTATTCTTATTATTATTATTATGACTATTCTTCTTATTATTATTATGACTATTCTTCTTATTATTATTACTATTCTTCTTATTATTATTATGACTATTCTTCTTATTATTATGACTATTCTTCTTATTATTATTATGACTATTCTTCTTATTATTATTATGACTACTCTTCTTATTATTATTATGACTACTCTTCTTATTATTATGATGACTACTCTTCTTCTTATTATTATGATGACTACTCTTCTTCTTATTATTATGATGACTACTCTTCTTCTTATTATTATGATGACTACTCTTCTTCTTATTATTATGATGACTACTCTTCTTCTTATTATTATGATGACTACTCTTCTTCTTATTATGATGACTACTCTTCTTCTTATTATTATGATGACTACTCTTCTTCTTATTATTATTATGATGACTACTCTTCTTATTATAATGATGACTACTCTTCTTATTATTATGATGACTACTCTTCTTATTATTATGATGACTACTCTTCTTATTATTATTATGATATTTATTATTATTATTATGATGACTACTCTTCTTCTTATTATGATGACTACTCTTCTTCTTATTATTGATTGACTTCTTCTTTATTATTATGATGACTACTCTTCTTCTTATTATTATGATGACTACCTTCTTCTTATTATTATGATACTTTTCTTCTTATTATTATGATGACTAATCTTCTTCTTATTATGATGACTACTCTTCTTCTTATTATGATGATTTCTCTTCTTCTTATTATACTACTCTTCTTCTTATGATGATTACTCTTCTTCTTATTATGATGACTACTCTTCTTCTTATTATGATGACTTTTATGATGACTAATCTTCTTCTTATTATGATGACTACTCTTCTTCTTATGATGACTACTCTTCTTCTTTATTATGATGACTACTCTTCTTCTTCTTATTATGATGACTACTCTTCTTCTTATTATGATGACTAAATGATGAATTATGATGACTACTCTTCTTCTTATTATGATGACTACTCTTCTTATTATTATTATGATGACTATCTTCTTCTTATTATTATGATGAATACTCTTCTTCTTATTATTATGATGACTACTCTTCTTCTTCTTTATTATGATGACTACTCTTCTTCTTCTTATTATGATGACTTCTCTTCTTCTTATTATTATGACTCTCTTCTTCTTATTATGATGACTTCTCTTCTTCTTATTATGATGACTACTCTTCTTCTTATTATTATGATGACTTCTCTTCTTCTTATTATTATGATGACTACTCTTCTTCTTTATTATGATGACTTCTCTTCTTCTTATTATTATGATGACTATTATGATGACTACTTCTCTTGTTATTATTATGATGACTACTCTTCTTATTATTATTATGATGACTGCTCTTCTTGTTATTATTATATTCTCTTCTTATTATTATGATGACTACTCTTCTTGTTATTATTATGATGACTACTCTTGTTATTATTATGATGACTACTCTTGTTATTATTATGATGACTACTCTTGTTATTATTATGATGACTACTCTTGTTATTATTATGATGACTACTCTTGTTATTATTATGATGACTACTCTTTATTATTATTATGATGAGTATTATGATGAAATTCTTATTATTATGATGACTACTCTTCTTGTTATTATTATGATGACTCTTTCTTATTATTATGATGACTACTCTTCTTGTTATTATTATGATGACTTCTCTTCTTGTTATTATTATGATGACTACTCTTCTTGTTATTATTATGATGACTCTTCTTGTTATTATTATTGACTACTCTTCTTGTTATTATGATGACTACTCTTCTTATTATGATGACTACTCTTCTTATTATGATGACTACTCTTCTTATTATGATGACTACTCTTCTTCTTATGATGACTACTCTTCTTCTTATGATGACTACTCTTCTTATTATTATGATGACTACTCTTCTTATTATTATGATGACTACTCTTCTTATTATTATGATACTCTTTTTTTATTATGATGACTACTCTTCTTCTTATTATGATGACTACTCTTCTTCTTATTATGATGATTCTCTTCTTCTTATTATGATGACTCTCTTCTTCTTATTATGATGACTACTCTTCTTCTTATTATGATGACTACTCTTCTTCTTATTATGATGACTTCTTCTTCTAGTGGCTTCTTCTTATTATGATGACTACTCTTCTTCTTATTATGATGACTACTTCTTCTTCTTCTTCTTCTTCTGATGACTATGATGACTCTTCTTCTTCTTATTATGATGACTACTCTTCTTCTTCTTATTATGATGACTACTCTTCTTCTTCTTATTATGATGACTACTCTTCTTCTTCTTATTATGATGACTTCTTCTTCTTGACTACTCTTCTTCTTATTATGATGATTACTCTTCTTCTTCTTATTATGATGACTACTCTTCTTCTTCTTATTATGATGACTACTCTCTTCTTCTTCTTATTACTACTCTTCTTCTTCTTCTTTTCTTCTTATTATGATGACTACTCTTCTTCTTCTTATTATGATGACATGACTTCTCTTCTTCTTCTTATTATGATGATTTCTTCTTCTTCTTATTATGATGACTACTCTTCTTCTTCTTATTATGATGACTCTCTTCTTCTTCTTATTATGATGATACTCTTCTTCTTCTTATTATGATGATACTCTTCTTCTTCTTATTATGATGACTACTCTTCTTCTTATTATGATGATTCTCTTCTTCTTCTTATTATGATGACTACTCTTCTTATTATGACTACTATTCTTCTTATTATGATGACTACTCTTCTTCTTCTTATTATGATGACTTCTCTTCTTCTTCTTATTATGATGACTACTCTTTTTCTTATTATGATGACTACTCTTCTTCTTCTTATTATGATGACTACTCTTCTTCTTCTTATTATGATGACTACTCTTCTTCTTCTTATTATGATGACTACTCTTCTTCTTCTTATTATGATGACTACTCTTCTTCTTCTTATTATGATGACTACTCTTCTTCTTATTATTATGATGACTACTCTTCTTCTTATTATTATGATGACTACTCTTCTTCTTATTATGATGACTACTCTTCTTCTTATTATGATGACTACTCTTCTTATTATTATGATGACTACTCTTCTTATTATTATGATGACTACTCTTCTTCTTATTATGATGACTACTCTTCTTCTTATTATGATGACTACTCTTCTTCTTATTATGATGACTACTATTCTTCTTATTATGATGACTACTCTTCTTCTTATTATGATGACTACTCTTCTTCTTATTATGATGACTACTCTTCTTCTTCTTATTAAGACTACTCTTCTTCTTCTTATTAAGACTACTCTTCTTCTTATTAAGACTACTCTTCTTCTTCTTATTAAGACTACTCTTCTTCTTCTTATTAAGACTACTCTTCTTCTTATTAAGACTACTCTTCTTCTTCTTATTATTAAGACTACTCTTCTTATTATTATTATTACTCTTCTTATTATTATTATTACTCTTCTTATTATTATTATTACTCTTTATTATTATTATTACTCTTCTTATTATTATTATTACTATTCTTTTTATCATTATTATTATTACTATTCTTTTTATCATTATTATTATTACTATTCTTTTTTATCATTATTATTATTACTATTCTTTTTATCATTATTATTATTACTATTCTTTTTTCATTATTATTATTACTATTCTTTTTATCATTATTATTATTACTATTCTTTTTATCATTATTATTATTACTATTCTTTTTATCATTATTATTATTACTATTCTTTTTATCATTATTATTATTACTATTCTTTTTTTATCATTATTATTATTACTCTTTTTTTATCATTATTATTATTACTATTCTTTTATCATTATTATTATTACTATTCTTTTTTATCATTATTATTATTACTATTCTTTTTATTATTAATACTTTCTTATTAATTTAATTATTATTACTCTTCTTTCATTATTATTATTATTATTATTACTGCCACTTCTTATTAATATTTCATAATTATTATTATTACTACTACTTTTATTAGTAGTAGTAGTACTACAACTACGCTTCTTATTATTAGTACTATGATTATTATTTTTACTGCTATTTTATTATTACTACTACTGGTCTTATTATTATTCTTTTTGGTCTTCTTATTCCTTTTATTATAATTTTCTCATTCTTTTTATTGTTCACACCAGTGAAACTCAAGCGACTAGTCGCCTCAGTACACAAGAGGTATGTGATGGGGTAATGTTTAGCGAGCACTGTTTGAACACCACTTGAGTGGTAAACTTGAAGCTTACTGGTTGCCGCCATAAAACATTGACATTAACACATTAAAGTCCAGCGTAGCAAGAATCAGTTGAAAGGCTTAGGGGGGAACTAAAATTGATAACACTATTTTCTTTTTTTTTAATTAAATCTATAATTAACTTTTAAAAAATGAATGTATTACACCGGATTTTTTTCGAGAGATTTACCTTCTTTTTTTTTTCTTTTTTTCTTACAATTAATGCTGTATTTTACGCTGAGCCTTAATCTTAATAATTTTTTGTGGCAGAGCGGTGGGAAGCACGCCGGGGCAGACGATGGCTTCCCCTATAACGTAACTGTAGGTTCGAACACAGTTCTTTTTAAGTCTCTTGAATAAGTCAATGGTAGATGTAAGTCATATGTGTTTAAACGAGAACAAAAACAGGTATTTACTCAAACACGCGTATCTGCATCGAGAACACGGATGGTATCCGCACTACCCACTAAAAAAAAGTGATAAAAGCACACTTTTTTGCAGTAAGTTTCATCTATTACAAACCCCGGAGGCCACTAAAGGTAGAAGGTTATGTTAGGAGAAGGTAACTGTTTACCCTCGCAAACAGGTTAACATTGTAGCTGTTGTGGGATAGCTGAACACCCTCAAAAAATGGATTGGTCCAAGACTTTATAACAGCATTATCTCTTACTGAAGGAAAGGAGTCAACGATTAACTCTTAGAGCTTGTTGAATTCTGTCTCCAGGCAGTGAGGATCCCATACATGCTTGGGTGATCATGACTGACGAGGCAGATTTCTTTTCATGCAGTAGCACACCTTGTCATCTTATAAAGACGAAATCAAACCATAATAATATTAATGAGAGACAAGGCCACAATGTAATGTCCGTATTTAGAAATTAAGAATACACCAACTTTCAACAAATGTATACCACCCGTAGCAACATTTACACATCATTTATTATAGAGTAGTCTAACAAAAAATAATCCTTGAAAATGGCTAAAAGTTTAGTCGAACAGTCTAGTCGGAGAAATTTTTTTTTTTATTCTTTTAGTCCAGAAAAAATACACTTGCACATATACAAGAAAAACATAACAAAATAATTTAAAGAAAAAAGTATTGTCAGTCTTCAACGAAACCTGTATTAAAGAGAAATTGCTTCCCAAATACATAATTATTAATTATAGATATTTATAATTTTGCTATCTCCACGAAGCTTAGTATGGGAACAAATAAATGAACGCGGGCTGAGTTCTAGTGGTAATAAAACAGTGCTCGATGTAAAATAACAAAGCTAAAATTTATACTAATGTTGTAGGGAACGAACTAATAACTCTCAGTATACAAAGAACTGATACATATCTATTAAATGTACAGTTCCAGTAGGAATATAAGCATCTGTGTTTGTCTCAAGAGGACTTGTTCTCCAGCAAGCATCAACACGTCAAACTCTCTGCCTTCGGGCAGAGAGGATCTCAGACGAGGCTATGCCGAAGGGCAGTCTCGTCTGGGGATGTAGACAAACCCGACCTCGTGAATGAAGGGTCTACGGGGAATCTTTGCCCAAGCCTCGGATCACCCCACATAAAAATTGGCTTTGTACCACATCCTGCCTCGTGGAGAGGTTGGGTAAAATCCAGGTGGCTTTCCAGGTTCAGACAAACTTATAAATATCTACTTGTATTGTTTTTGTTTAAATTAAACTCTTATACTTTGTAAATTGCCGTTCTAGTTATTATTTTCAGTAACCACCCTGGGAAACATAAAAAAAAAAAAAACTAATGATAAATATGCATATTGTTCCTCACCGTACAACTCTTTGGACTTAACTGAAAGGTAGGAATTGTATATTTGTTATATATGAGATATATTAACCATTAAAAGATATATATCATTACATGTTTAAAAGTATATAGTACTCTTTCTTCTTGTTAGTAGTAGTCTTAGAAACACCTTTTTATCGCATGTCTCTAGCTTTCAAAGAAAATAGCGTTTGAATCTTTTGCGCGCACTTATACAAAAAGCATCTATTTACATAAAAGTATAAATGTGTGCACTATTATCTTTAGCATTTTATATATATATATATATATATATATATATATCCCGGGAAAATTTTCTGTGCCGAATTTCTCTTTGAATCCGGCTTAAGGAGACGTCTTCCAATTTTTTTTAATTTTTTTTTTTTTTTTTTTTTTTTTTTTTAAATACAAAGACACCGGTGAGTTTTCACGCTAAATTGACCTACTGCTATTCTTGCGGTCGGCGTTTAACCAATCTCCTTTATGAAGATCTATGCAAAACTCGGTACAGCCTTTCATAAGCGCGTCATCCTGTTTTTTTTTGTTTTTTTTCTTTCATCGAGTGTCCCGAAAATGTCACGAAAACGAGAATAGGCTCAAAGCGTTTATAATCGTTGATAACAAGTTTATATTTTTAGTTAATATAACTCAACTAGAGCAAAAAAACACAATTTCGATTTTCTTTTTCTTATTGTTTCCCTTGCTAGTTTTATCCTTCTTAATCTTATGATTATGTATGAAATGAATACAGTATGAAATTCAATGGAACATGGTGAATATGAAATGTATACAGTATGAAAACTGTTTAATATTAAATGAATAGTATTTCCTATGTTGTTTGTTTTTTTTTTCTGTTTTTCCCAGGTTGTTTGTTTTTTTTTTCTGTTTTTCCCAGGTTGTTTGTTTGTTTTTTTTTTCTGTTTTTCCCAGGTTGTTTGTTTGTTTTTTTTTTTTGTTTTTCCCAGATTGTTTGTTTTTTTTTTCTGTTTTTCCCAGGTTGTTTGTTTGTTTTTTTTTTTCTGTTTTTCCCAGGTTGTTTGTTTGTTTTTTTTTTTTTCTGTTTTTCCCAGGTTGTTTGTTTGTTTTTATGTTTTTTTCCTCTTTCCTTTTCCCTCTTTCCTTTTCTTTCTTTTTTTTCCTCTTCCCTTTCTTTCTTTTTTTTCCTCTTCCCTTTCTTTTTTTTTTTTCCTCTTCCCTTTCTTTTTTTTTCCTCCTCTTCCCTTTCTTTCTTTTTTTCCTCTTCCCTTTCTTTTTTTTTTTCCTCGTTCCTTTCTTTCTTTCTTTTCCTCGTTCCTTTCTTTCTTTTCCTCGTTCCTTTCTTTCTTTTCCTCGTTCCTTTCTTTTCTTTCCTCATTCCTTTTTCTTTCTTTTCCTCGTTCCTTTTTTCTTTTCCTCGTTCCTTTCTTTCTTTTCCTCGTTCCTTTCTTTCTTTTCCTCGTTCCTTTCTTTCTTTTCCTCGTTCCTTTCTTTCTTTTCCTCGTTCCTTTCTTTCTTTTCCTCGTTCCTTTCTTTCTTTTCCTCGTTCCTTTCTTTTTTTTTCCTCATTCCTTTCTTTTCTTTTCCTCGTTCCTTTCTTTTCTTTTCCTCGTTCCTTTCTTTCTTTTTCCTCGTTCCTTTCTTTCTTTTCCTCGTTCCTTTTCTTTCTTTTCCTCGTTCCTTTCTTTCTTTTTCCTCATTCCTTTCTTTTTTTTCCTCGTTCCTTTCTTTTCTTTTCCTCGTTCCTTTCTTTCTTTTCCTCGTTCCTTTCTTTTTTTTCCTCGTTCCTTTCTTTCTTTCCTCGTTCCTTTCTTTCTTTTCCTCGTTCCTTTTTTTCTTTTCCTCGTTCCTTTCTTTCTTTTCCTCGTTCCTTTCTTTCTTTTCCTCGTTCCTTTCTTTCTTTTCCTCGTTCCTTTCTTTCTTTTCCTCGTTCCTTTCTTTCTTTTCCTCGTTCCTTTCTTTCTTTTCCTCGTTCCTTTCTTTCTTTTCCTCGTTCCTTTCTTTCTTTTCCCTCGTTCCTTTCTTTTTTTTGCTCGTTCCTTTCTTTCTTTTTTGCTCGTTCCTTTCTTTCTTTTTTGCTCGTTCCTTTCTTTCTTTTTTGCTCGTTCCTTTCTTTCTTTTTTGCTCGTTCCTTTCTTTTTTTTTTGCTCGTTCCTTTCTTTTTTTTTTTTTCTTTCCTTTCTTTTTTTTTTGCTCGTTCCTTTCTTTCTTTCTTTTTTGCTCGTTCCTTTCTTTTTTTTTTTGCTCGTTCTTTTCTTTCTTTTTGCTCGTTCCTTTCTTTCTTTTTTGCTCGTTCCTTTTTTTTTTTTTTGTTCGCTCCTTTTTTTTTTTTTGCTTTTCCTTTCTTTTTTTTGCTCGTTCCTTTCTTTCTTTTTTTTTTTGCTCGTTCCTTTCTTTTTTTTTTTTTGCTTTTCTTTCTTTCTTTCTTTTTTTGCTCGTTCCTTTCTTTCTTTCTTTTTTGCCCGTTCCTTTCTTTCTTTCTTTTTTGCTCGTTTCTTTCTTTTTTGCCCGTTTCTTTCTTTTTTGCCCGTTTCTTTCTTTTTTGCCCGTTTCTTTCTTTTCCTTTCCTTTCGGATTTAACATACAATGTTTATAATTTTCAGTTAAAATGTTAACTTTTCATTTTCAATGCTTTCTTTTCTTGAAAGGCTTTGGCTCCCAGACATTACCAGTGACCATCAGAGTCAGCAGTTCACTCCGATATTATAGTCCAACATACGCAGATATTGGCAGACATTCCACTTTGGCTTGGCGCCCAACAGACAATGATCGACGACCATATATTGAGGCTGATTTGAGAGGCGCTAATTACATCACTGCCATCGAAACAAGAGGTGGTTCCAAATCAAGAACCTTCGTCAATTCGTTCAATGTTCAATACTGGGACCTTACAACTAATAAATGGGTGAGTAAATACACAAAATGCTGAGATTTTCATCCAAGATTTATTGGCAGTTATTGTCATTGAAGGTTAAACAGATGTTACGTGATAACAGATAATGTTTACACATTCTATAGTATGGTTGTCCAACTGGGCATAAAATTATATTTATAAATAAATACAAGTATACTATATATAAGTATTTCATGTATATAGATATAAGTATCCAAAAAGAGAAATCAAAAAAGCCTCGAATATCCAAAAGGAAATTATTTGGTTATTGCATAATGGGGGCATCCTTACAGGTTAACTTTATTCACTTTCGTTAAGAAAATTGATTCTTAAAATTACAGTGATTAGTGAAAAAAAATCTTTTAAATCTTGTTACTTAAAATATTTAATGTATAATTAAAAATGTTTAATATTTCAAGCATAATCAATTGTCAAAAAATAAAATATTTCAAGCATAATCAATTGTCAAAAAATAAAATAATCTTTTTAATTCCTTTTAATTTTAAATTAAACTACGAAACACTTTTTAACAAAATATATGAACAATATAATTTAACAAATGACATTAAATCGTCACCAAATTAAACAATTTGAGACAGTTCCCTTGCGTGTTTATTTTTTATTTATTTTTCAGAACAAATTCCGCTGCTTTTAATTCTTAAAGAATTATTCCAAACATACAAACCATTCTCATACCAGAATTTAATGTCGGAGAGACACTCTAGGTAGATGTTTACTATTAAAGTGGTAATGAACAATGGGGCTTATGATATGAATGAGAGAGGAGGTGGTAGAAATGTTGGATATCGGTTGGAGAAATATCTTTGGCCTTACTTCCGCTGCATCAGTGTGTGAACGGAAATTGGAACTGGGGATAGCATAACTAAACGGAAGGAAATGCGTGGGCGCATGCATGAAGAGACATGGCCACACGAAGATTTCTTATTTAGATTTTTATTTTAGTGATGCAATAATTATTGAAGTTTTTAATATTTATAATTACTTTAAACTTTTTAAATGCGAATGTAGCATACGGTCAAAATCAGATTCTAAGGATTTTAAGGCTAAAATTTTTTACCGACTGCAAAAATTCTAATATTTTTTCAAATTAAATAAAAATAATTTTGTGTAGCAGATTATTATCTATGGTATAAATTCTAATTGAAATAACAAATTCTATTAACATTTTTTCTTTTAATCTAGGAGAATCTGTCGGAATGTCTTTTTTTTCTCCATAGGTGTAAATATATGTCCATCAATCACCAGGTTAACACACTTCCGCAATCTTTTGGACAGGAGAAGATGTCCACACTTCTCATTGGTCCTTTTGAACAGGAATAGGATTGGGTTTCCGGTTGCTTCTGTATTTTCTTCATTCTCTTTTTCATTCTCTTTTTCATTCTTTTTCACTTTTATTTGCCCCTTACGTCTTGGGATCAATTGACTAAAAAGTTTAATGCAATGGTTTTCATTTTCAAGTTCTCATGATTGTGCTACTGATATCAAAATTACAGTGGAAACACTTTGAATATAAAATACGATTCTGAAAATTACTGAGTCTATTTTATAATATAAGTCACATTTTATTGAAATATTTTTTCTAGTCTATTACGTGAAGTGATTTTGTAGGCTACGTTTTACCTGAACAACGTAGATCACCAACCTGTGTGCATTTCCCAACTCTATAATGTCCGGGAACTTTTGAAAAATAAAATTGCACCCCCATCCCAAGGACAAGGGCGATTTACCTCCGGGTCCTGTATGGGTAGGTTGTATTAAATATTCAGATTACATTTTCGAGATATTCGGCACTGTGTGACGTAACTGTAATACCAATGCACTGCCAGTCTTAGTTTTAAATATTAACACATTTAGGGGACCTGAACTAGGTGTAATGGTTAACAAGCTTATTTTGCTAGAACTAATTACAACTGTGTAAGTCAATTTGATCCTTAATGGGAGCTCCATACTTTCGGCCTTATGCCACATCTAAGCTACGCTTAGAAAATCACCATAGCGCAATAAGGTTGTATACCTCAGCGTGGTGTAATGGTTAGCAAGATTGTCTCGCTAGATCAATTACGACTGGAAAGTGAGTTCGATCCTCACTACGTGCTCCATACTTTCAGCCTTGTGCTGCATCTAAGTTACGCTTAATTTTACCGCAATAAGATTGGTGAGGTAAAAAGAGTCCAGTGATCCGCTACACAATTACAGCTGTTTCAGTGGATCAGATTTAGTGCTTTGATTGGCCATGTGACATGCAGAAGAATTGCTACTGCTAAGTTTCACAACTTTGGCTGACGTTGACTGCTGTGTGCAGACAAAGAAAAACATTTGGCACTGAATTTGTTGGAAGAAAGCAGATAAACGAATAAATAAAATGCTATTCGAACCTTTTGATAAGTGAGTTCAGGCAAATTTCCTGAGGAAATAGTAAATTTGGGTATATTCTCGTGATAGTCCCTTTTGAAAAATAAATAGTTGAACGTTAGCTTAGCGATTAAACGTGGGTCGCGTCGAGACCAGGCTTTATTTTCTTGGAACGTTGATATTTACGTCCTTGCTCGTGCATGGTACTACTAAAAAAGAAATACCCTTTTTTTTTTTTTTTTTTTTTTAATGTTTTCACAGCGCTTTCACAAACTCCGTTTTTTCTTCTTCTCTTTTTCTTCTTCTCTTTTTCTTCTTCTCTTTTTCTTCTTCTGTTTTTCTTCTTCTGTTTTTCTTCTTCTGTTTTTCTTCTTCTGTTTTTCTTCTTCTCTTTTTCTTCTTCTCTTTTTCTTCTTCTCTTTTTTTCTTCTTCTCTTTTTTTCTTCTTCTCTTTTTTTCTTCTTCTCTTTTTTTCTTCTTCTCTTTTTTTCTTCTTCTCTTTTTCTTCTTCTTTCTTCTCTTTTTCTTCTTCTCTTTTTCTTCTTCTCTTTTTCTTCTTCTCTTTTTCTTCTTCTCTTTTTCTTCTTCTCTTTTTCTTCTTCTCTTTTTCTTCTTCTCTTTTTCTTCTTCTCTTTTTCTTCTCTTTTTCTTTCTTTCTCTTTTTTTTTCTTTCTTTTCTCTTTCTCTTTTTTTCTCTCTTTTCTCTTTTTTCTCTTTTTCTCTTTTTCTTCTTTTTCTTTTTTTTCTTTCTCTTTTTCTCTTTCTCTTTTTTCTCTTTCTCTTTTTTTCTCTTTCTTCTTTTTCTTCTCTCTTCTCTTTTTTCTCTCTCTTTTCTTCTTTTTTCTCTTTTCTTCTCTTTTTTTCTCTCTCTTTTCTCTCTCTCTCTCTTTTCTCTCTCTCTTTTCTTCTTTTCTCTCTCTCTCTTTTTCTCTTTTCTCTCTCTTTTTTCTCTCTCTCTCTCTCTTTTTCTCTCTCTTTTCTCTCTCTCTCTCTTTTTTTTTTCTCTCTCTCTCTCTCTTTTTTCTCTCTCTCTCTCTTTTCTCTCTCTCTCTCTTTTTTCTCTCTCTCTCTCTTTTCTCTCTCTCTCTCTCTTTTCTCTCTCTCTCTCTTTTCTCTCTCTCTCTCTCTTTTCTCTCTCTCTCTCTTTTCTCTCTCTCTCTCTCTTTTCTCTCTCTCTCTCTCTTTCTCTCTCTCTCTCTCTTTTCTCTCTCTCTCTCTCTTTTCTCTCTCTCTCTCTTTTCTCTCTCTCTCTCTCTTTTCTCTCTCTCTCTCTCTCTTCTCTCTCTCTCTCTTTTTCTCTCTCTCTCTTTTCTATGCTCACTTTAACGCATGCGCGTCTAGTCAAATATAGTATAGCGGCCGTTAAATTATGCATTTTTAACGTGAAGAGTCAGTGGTGTTACGATATTGGCATCAGTAGTCAAATGAGCATTTCTACCATCAAAGAACTTGATTCAGAATGGTTACGTAATACAGCTGCTCGCTAAGATCGACATTACACAAGTTCGACTACTTTCCTGGTTGGCGCGATTAGCAAGCATGTCTCCAACTCAATACGTATAGAACATAATCAGATGACGAATGAATCATTTTTACCTCATTTACAACTCTTGTATAATGCGTTATCGGTATCAAGAGGCGTTGAAGGATGTATCCAATGATGTTATTTATTATCTGATAGTACAGGTCTGTTTGAACGTCAGGATATACGGTGTATTCTATGCATCTATGATAAAAAAGCAGGATCCACTCAGACAACTTCTTGTACAGAACTATTACTTTATGGAATTCCTGGGAATGCTTCCCTGACAACTACAATCTTGGTCTCTTTAAATCCAAGGTCAACCGATATTTGTCTTACTCGACTTCATTACAGTCTCTTACATTCCCCTTCCTTACAGGCTCCCTCAGTAAGCGTCTACCTTGAGTGGCCCTTGGGCCTCCTTGGTATTGGATGAACTGTCAGTAAAAACAATGTATTGATTTGTAGATCTGTGATATACTAACACCGTAACACGACGGAAGAAAGAACCAGAATAAGTGAAATAAAGGAACACCAAATAAATACATTATTATATAATTTTATATGCCGCCATATCTTACAAAATATATACAAATATGTATATACCTGTCACTATTTATCACACACCGAGAAACTATATCATATATAAATATAACAAGCAGTGTGAACGGGAAAATAACAAGAGAGTCTTAGTTGTAATATTTTCCGAAGAGTAAACGACTAAACCGAATGTATCTTTTGTGTTCCTTGTTGGGGCCATTTTATTTTTCTTCTTATAACAGCCGTGGGAAAACAAGTCTTGCTTCTTCGTGGTTTACATAGAAACTGCGGTTCGGAAACCCATGAACTGACGTCACTCACCGACCGTCACGTGGCTCTCGTGAATTCATGTTACCCAAAGGAAGATAATCGCCCTTTGCACACCCACAGTCCATTAGATTCCGCATACAGTACCGTATATACTTGCGTATAAGTTGAGTAATGTGTAGTACGACCACTGAATATTTTGAGTTAATTTTTATTCCGACAGAAGAAAAAACGTGCATTTTGCAACCGGTCACCGGAAATGCATGATTATTGACCTTTTCAAAACAATTACATGTGTATAGTGCAAACCCCCACCCCTATTTTTTTGCGTAAGAAAACTGATTATGTAAACTCGCACTATATTCGAGTATATAGAGCATATGGATGCTGTCTAGGTGCACTAATCTCTAGATACTTGGTTGAGTCAGAAATACTTTCCGGTTTCGTTTATCAATTTTAATCTTTGAAAATAGCACAATTATATTTGATTCAGTTCTTTATTCACCATTATTTGCAATGAGTTATTCCAACTTTTCAAACAGTTGATCGATAACTTTTGAATAAAATTCCACAGGTTTCGATGTGATAATGTTGTCTACCAACTCTTGACTCTGGTTATAATTAGAAAAAATTTTCCTTCTTCAACACATTTTGCAGCGATCAGAAAAGAGGATAATCGACTCGTACAAGATCAGGTGAATATGGCTGGGGAAGTAGAACAGATCAACCTTGTTTCAGTATTTTTCCTGTGTTTTTTTTTTCTTTTTGTATTTTGTCCTTTTAACCCACTATGTACGGTGTCACTGACGTTCAAAATTAAGGCCTGTTAGTTTACGTCAATATATTTTTAACTGCTACGTATGATTTGTAGTTTGCATGATGCACTGGTAATTAGTTCTTCAAACCTAATAATTAATGGTTCTTCAAACCTAATAAAATAAAATATCGGATCTTCAAACCTAATAAAATATCGGATCTTCAATCCTAATAAAATAAAATATCGGTTCTTCAAACCTAATAAAAAATATCGGTTCTTCAAAACTGCATTTACTTATAACTCCACTTAATATCTCTTAAATGTGTTTAATGCAGCTACTAGTTTGGCAGAAAGCCAATGTTCTAAAACAACGGTCCCTAAACATTTTGCACCAGGGACCGGTTTCATGCAATAAATTTTTCACGGACTGGGGAGGAGGGGTGGTTGTCGGTCACCCGCGTAACAAAACAATAAAAAGACCAGAATAGTCAATAAAATGGAAGAGAAAAGATTTATTCTTTCAGTGTGGCCGGGTACCAAATGATCCACGGTCCCGTCCCGTCCGTCCCGGGCCGCAGCCCTGGGATTGAGGACCGCTGTTCGCAAGCACACAGTGAGGATCGAATCGACCAGCAACGGCTAAAGAGGTGACCATGCTAATTACTATTGTAGAGAAACCTCCATTAATGCTTTAATCTATTTCTTCCTGTCATATCCTTCTAGAACATGGACGATCATGGCTCTCCACAACTTTCCGTCTTTTTATTACTCGAAGTAACTTATGCTCCTTTATCATCTATATATTGTTTTTTTTTTTTTTATGGTTCCTGTTCTGCCATCCATTTACACTTTACCCTCCATATTCTTCCTCACTCTCCATTATTTCACGCATACACTTTGTTATTCATTCCTTCACTTGCCTTCAGTGTGTGTCATGAGTTTTAAATTTACCAAACTTTCTACCTTCGTTAGGCATTGGAAAAATGTCTTTTTTCTTTTTTTAATGTTTACAAAACAGTTTCTTTTTAGTTCGTATTGTCCTTAAAACTTACTTGTCTCTCACATAGACGTAAACAAAACGTATTTATCCAAGCAAATAAATCCAAAATATCTACAAAATTGAGTAATACCAGGTACTTCAATACGGGGAAATGCATAACAAGTTCAATCGTATTTGGGTGTACTATTTAATATTTCGATATTAAAAACTTAAGGGTTGACATCTTATTAAATCACCGAACCCATTTATAAGTCCTCGTACTGGGGAGGACAATAAACGACATCCGACAGCAAGGCCTCTAATCGGGAGGTTTTTAGGCGTGTGTAACCACCACTTAATAGCTGTTGTTCCCAGGTTAATCCTGATCCAGGGTGGTAGCACCTGTTAGGGTCCCAGTTCTTGGGAAATAGTCAAACAACAAACTAGGGTCAAAATATATAAAACTACATTCGAAAAAATGATCAGCAAAATATTTTCGGAACAGAAAAATGTTACGAAATCTCACAAGAAAATGACCCATAAGGTGTTGATATACCGTTAACCAAACCCCCCAAAAATGTATCAATCCTCTTTAGTACGTCTTTCACCGAAAATTGAACGTACTATACAGACAAGCGTATGTAAGATAATTTTGTCAACCATCTTTTTCACGCTGGGTGCCATTAATGTTAGATGTAATATCCACTGATGACATAGCAATATATTAAATAGAAGCGTTGAAAAAATGTTGATATTTGGTTTCATAATTTTTCAGGAAAGAGTGAATCTGGAAACTGAGCCATATGCAGCCAACACCGACTATCATTCGATTGTACACGTCAACCTCGGATGGAATATTCACACCAGCAAAATACGTGTTTACCCTCAGCAAACCCAGCGGGAAATGGCAATCAGATTGATTGGATATCGTGACTTTTCCAAGCCCGGTTCGTATCTCCATAAAAATAACATGTCAAAGTTCTTGAGTACTTTTGGCATCCAGCAGCAGATTAGGCATCAAAACGTACATATATATATATATATATATATATATATATATATATATATATATATGTGTGTGTGCTGCGTAAGCGGACATACACCCTGTTTATGTTACAGTATATCATTTTGGACAATATAATCTTTATAGTTGGATTAATGTCATTCTGTTTTCTGGCCTTCATCAGATGACTGTTACAGCGAGTAACCTTTAGCGAATTTCGAATTGAACTCTTTATTTAATCTAAGTTGGTAGATTATTCTTGTTCTGCTGTCAATGTCTTCAGATTTTTTTTTTTTAGTACTGATAAGCTATTTTTCCCATTGAATTCGCGTCTATACTATCCGATCCAGGGATTGAACTCAGAAATTCTGACAGCCAATTTACGAACAAGACTTTAATTATTGAGCCTATTTCCCCGTAGATTAAATACGAATTTCGGTTGGAAGGTTACCAGAATTGATAGATAACTTAAGGAGGCCCGAAGGAACAATGGCCGAAACGTTATAATAATGACGAAGATGAGGATAATATTAATCTGACTACAAATAACGCAAACAATAGCTCCTCATCCCAGAAATATGAGCAAAAATCACCTTTAGAAGGGGGTGTACAGAGCAAACTAAGAATGCTTTCCTAAATATCCCATCAAGCTCGATCTCAGCTGCTTTGAACCTGGGAGTAAAATAATGCCTCAAATTGGCCAGAATTTCAATAATTGTAACTACAATTATAGAATCTAAAACAAAAGTAGCAATAGCAGTAGCATTGTTACAACTACCATTATTACGACTAATAATAATAGTTATGAGATTTTTGTAATTTATAAAATATTCGAAAGGAATTTTTAAAAATTCCTTATGATGTTAAAATTTTACCACTAATTAAGAAAATCTGACAGTGTAAAAAAAAATAAATAAATAAATAAAATAAAAATAAAAAATAAAATAAAAATAAAATAATAATAAAATAAAATCGTGTGTGACGCGTTTCCTCTTTTTAGGATTCCATCCTACAGTGGCAGATCTTTTGTCATTAGATATCCCACATTGACAAATCTTGTATTATTAACATATTTAATAAATAAAGTGATGAAGACAAAAACTAAATGAAATTGGCTAGACTCTATACCCAAATTCATATTTTTAAAAAAAAATTCAGCGTTCCCTCTCCTTCATGCACATGTGTAATCAAATTAACCATAACATCACTTTTGTCTGAAGTCCTAAACGACGAAACACGTCATAGATTTTCCTAAATAGACAATTTTCAATATGACTGTCTGCAGAAAAAGGGTTTTCAGCTGATGCAAAATAGCTGCCTGTTTTCTTAGCTGTACGTCTCAAATAAGTGAAAGATTAAGAATCGTTTTTTTCCTTTAAAATAATAATACCTTCTTTAAATTTTTCAGCACCTCAGTTTATGCCACCATTTTCTGACTGCAACATATTTTCACAAAGTGAGTTTTCTTTTATTTTGTTCTAATAATGATATTTAAGATTTTTTTTTCTTTTTAATAGATTTTCATTTCCTTCTGAATTTCTCAAGATTTGATATCAACAAAAATCTAAACGATTTGTCTTACACATTACAAAGAGATATTTAAATGTTTCTTTTTCTTTATATAAAAAAAAAACAGGCGGATCCGGTAGTGCTGGCCCCGTGTCATGGAATCACATCGGCGTAAAAACAAAAGTGGTTATAGATAATGCTGGTTTGCCTACATCAATATATATGAATAAAAACTGCACTGTGTATGACCCCGTCATCTCAGGTAAAGATCAAACAGCGTTAGAGCTGCTCTATGAATCTTCTTGCTTCGTAAATTAACATTTTCTTTCTTTTTATTTACTTATTAATGTTTTCAATTCACATCTACGATTAATTCTGTCATTTAAATGTCCCTTCCACTTTAAATTTAGCTAGGGATCTCTCCAAGATAGGTATGAAGACTTTGTCCAATCACCTTTTTGATTATTTACTCTGGAAGGAAAGAAAACGTTTTTCAGTTAATAACCAAAAGAACAGCTATTATATTTTACTGTTTTTTTTTTTTATTATTTTATAATACACACTATTTTTCTCACATGCTATTAAAATAAATATTTATTACTCTGTAAGTAAAAACCGTCTAGAAAGAATTTTTTTTTTTCCGAAGTCTTCTTCGCTAAATTTCTGGTTAATGTGCAGTTGATTTCTGTAGAATAATGGTATTTTTAGAATTATCATTTTTATTATTGTTCCTTTTTTTTCTTCTGACACTGAATTTTTTTTTTTTTTTTTATCAATTATTTGGTTGCAGGGGTTATTGTTAATTAATGTTTGTGTTATGTTTTTGAGTCCATTATTAAATACTCTGCGTGTAGAAGATAATAAATGAGATTTATTTATTAAATTATTTATAATGGCAATTTTTTTCTGCATGAGCATTAACTGTTGTAATTGAGGAAACAGGTTTAAATTAGTTGATTTTTGTTTATAGAAAGAGGTTTGAAATTTATCGTGATTTGAATCTGTTGATACGTCTGAAATGAATTGCCTAATGTTTGAAATCTGAAATTAAGAACTGTTATTTTCGAAAATTGTTCGCAGATTATTTATTTCATTCATGTTAGTTAACATAAATATATCATCAACGAATGAATATAAAATCAGTTTAGGGTTTCCTGAGGTCGAAATTTAAATCCTGATAGTGTTGGATCGGAAGGTGGACCCATTGTAACACCATAGGCTTGTGTTTGTGAGTGTATATATTTCTTAAATGGTCACAAAAGTCGTGTGTTGCAGACTACGAGTAGAATTGTTGGTTGTTTATAGACGTTCTTTTAATTCGGTGTTTTATTGTTTCAGTCAGAGATAGGTTGGTGAAAAGATTTTCATCGTCTAATGATTCTAATAGGTCCACCATTTGGTTTATTCATATTGAAGATTTGGTTATTTAATACCTAAGTATCTAATATCACCTTTTGACAAAAGAAGCAACACTCATTAGCATAAATATATCATCAATGTAATGAATATAAAATATCAGTTTACGGTTTCCTGAGGTCGAAATTTAAATCCTGATAGTGTTGGAGCGGAAGGTGAACCCCTTGCGACACCATAGGCTTGTGTTTGTGAGTGCATACATTTCCAATATGACAAGCACCAATGATACAACAAAAAGATCAAAGCTTCAACAAATCAATATCGTCAATGAATGCACGTGCTCACTGGCAGAATTATTGGTTACACAAACTCTACATTATTGTGACATTTAACTTTATTTATCCGTTGATAATTCAATTAAATCATATATGAGCAACCAACGCACGAGAAATCTGTCAATTCCCTAACAATGACACAAAATACTATATCACATAATCTGTAAAAACACGACCACAGATGCGAGGAGAATTAACCTTAAAGGAAAACAGCCTAACATCAATAAAATAGTATCAAAATTAGGAACCAGTATATTAAATATATTTAGTATAAAGAAGACTGGCACGAGAGAACGCGATACTTAAAACATGACGTGTGAAAACGCGAGATGTAAGCCATGAAACCGATATAACGCAAAGAACCCAAACTCCTGGTCTGAAATATACAAAAAAACATGATAACATGATGAAATATATATATATATATATATATATATATATATATATATATATATATATAATTACGTAGTGGAAAAATCGTTTGACGCGTTTCGTCCCTTCGGACTTCAATGGACTAGGCTTGTTAACGTTGATACGACTAGGCATGCGCATGAACGAGAGTCACTAGTAATTTTAAATTTAGAAAGATTTTTTTATGTTTTGGGTATATTATATAGCCAATTTAATTTAGAATTTTTTTTCCTTTCGTTTCTATCATGTTTGCTATGAAAAAACACCACATTGTGTTAAAGCACTTTCGAAACATTTGTGACGTCGTCCCCCGGTCGTAGCGCCAACTGTGACGTTCTATCCTGATCTACCACGGCACCAGTTGTGACGTCCCCAAACAGCACCAATTGTGACGTCCTCGCCGCGGCGCCAGCTGTTTGCTCGTCGCTGCTCCGTTCGGATGTCGCTGCTCCAAACGTGACGTCCGCCAGTCGCGTCAGTCGTGTTGTCTCGTCCTGTGACGACCAACTGGCTTGGTATCGGCCGCGGCACCCAAATGTGACGTTCTAACCCTTTGGTGATTCGGGTGGTAATCTGGTTAGATTTGATATCAGCCTCGTCATTCCCAACTCGCTTCCAACGCCTGGTTACCAAGGTAACTGCATTGATCTCCAGTCTGCCTACCCACATTGTGAATTGATCTTAGACAGACGAGATCAAACTGTGGTTGGGGCCGTAATGCAACGGGGGTGATACTACACAAATATGCATAAAAGAAAATAAAATGAAAACTCAAAAATTCAAAGTATCAAAGAAAAAGGTAACAAACTTTATGTCTAGTTGTTCGATACATAGCACTGCATCTATCTCCCGACCCGTTCTGTGGATTGTGACACGTCGTTTTCCGTTAGGCAAGTTTTAACGCTTCAAGTTGTTTGCTCTCTTAGAAATTGGCGTTTCGGTGTGTCTTTGGACGAAGTCGAAAAAAAACTTATTTCGGTGGTCTGGATCTAAGTCGCTCTTCAAAATAATTGTTCTTGGGTTGAAGTGGAGTCCGGAATTTGCGTGAATCATGGTCAACTCACTGGAACTGCTGGAACTCAACTCTGGAAACTCAACTCTCCGCTGGAGCACGAACTCTCTGATTTCTGCCTGTTGGGGCCTCGCTTTTATTGACGCCGACCAAAACTGGGGTGGGTCTGTCAGCGTCTGGGGTTCCTCGATAATTCTAAATACATAGCCACCTCTTTTATATCTGGTTAGAGATTTTCCACTCTTTTCCATTTTTGGGAACCTTTCCTTAATCCCACTTTCTCACCATAATTCAGAGGGCGTGAACTGCCCTTCCCACTTCTTCGTAGCAGCTTCTCATACTTATACTCTGGATGAGGCGTCGACAGCCTCCTTCGTGCGTCACGTGATCACCACTCGACCAATGAGGTCTTAGTCGGGTATCTTTCCTCCTCCTTCGTGCGTCACGTGATCACCACTTGACCAATGATGTCTTAGTCGGGCGTGAACAATCCGCGGCTTTGTTTCGGGGAAAAAAAAATATCTTGCTTAATTAAAAAAAAATTATCTCTTCTCTTTCCCTTTTCTTCCGCTTTAATCGCCGTTATCATTTTTCTAGCCGACAATATGACAACTCGTGGTTATTGTCAGGTATTTTATCGCTAATTATTAAAATGGGTGGTCTTCTTAACACGGCCTCAAAAAAGAAATATCTCTAAAGTTTCAGTCAGTCTGTCGCCTCCAAGGAAGAAGAAAAACACTTCTGGGTCCCCATTCATTTTCCTTCGGTACATATTTCTGATAACATAATTTTATTATCGCAGGCCAAAGTTGTTTCGTCGAAAAAAAATCGGTCAGCGGACACGGCTTGTGTGGCTTTTAATTTTTCATATCTACCCAAAGTCCTGTAGCTACACCTGTGTTTTGTCAATTATCAAAATTAACGTTTTCAATTAAATTTTTCGTTGGCCAGTCGACCAGCCGTTTTGTTTACGTACTCCTAGATAACACAGCCGTTATCAAAACACATCTGTTTCTTTCTTTCTTTCCATTTCTTGTTACTCAGAATTTCCCTGTCATTGTAATGACACCCTTTCGCCATGGTTACTTATCAATATATTCATTGTCTCTTAGCCGTGTGTGTGTCTGCTTATCACCCACAATTCGTCTCGCCTTTCTTTCTGCCTTTTTTTTCTTTTTTTCCTTTCTCTGCCTCGTAAATGGTGCCACACATTTTCATCTTAGTGAATTATTTAATTTTCGAAGATGAAAATGTGGAGAAAGCGCTTTAATCTCTAATTCATCCACAGTTAATTTGTGTCCAGGTTCATACAACGTTTCGCCATGTTTGATAGAAATTCTGTTATTACAGACGTAACGCTTCACACGAAAAAACTAAATTTTCCTACTTTGCTATGCATCTTCCCATCAAAACTGTTAATGTTATATAAAAATCTATATATCGTTATCACACACACACACACACACACATATATATATATATATATATATATATATATATATATATATATATATATATTTTATGTATGCGCGTAACATAGCTATTGTCGATGCAGAAAGTTCAAATTTTGGCCAAGTTTGTTGCGTTCACTTTCACACAAGTACGCAGGAGAGATTTGAGTTTCTCTTCTTCCTCACATCTATGGGTTAAATAATAGGGCAAAGTTTTTAGCCGTATTCAGCAACCAAATGGTCAACTCTGAATTAAACTGGTAATAGCACCACGTAAAATCCTACCAGCTGCAGAATCAACAGCAGCTACATCTAGCATAGTAAGGCCCTTTATTTCTCGGCGCAATCTAATGGCACTAAAGCAGAGTACTGGGTATATATATATATATATATATATATATATATATATATATATATATATACACGCGGTGCTATCGGAAAGAGCGTGCTATTGAAAGAGCGTCTTTGCAAAAATGTAACGTTTAACGGAAACGCGCATGCAGATAACGATCATTGATATCGACCTTTAATGAACCAGCCTCCTAAAATAGGCTTAATGAACTGGTTTTCGCGTTGTCCGACAAATTTGAACGACGAAAATGTACCACGTTTTGCATGAAGTTCGACAAATTCGCTAACGAGTCTCTCGAAAGGACTCGTCATGCTTTTGGCGAAGATTCTTAAGGTTAAACGCGGG